AACGTAGTGATTATAACCTCTTTGTTTTGTTACGAAAGTTCTTTTGAAATGTCCACGCCAGTCGTACGCCACGTGGTTTTTAGATTATAAATATTTGTAGTCCCTACCCCAAAACGAAGTCATATAACATTGACAATAAAGGAAAAGTGTACCATATACGAGGGTAACACCGAAAGTTCTTAGAAAATCAAAAACTAAACAAGCTAGCAAGTTATTAGTTTTATTATATATTTTCAAAATAGTGTCGATTTACATCAATACATCGCTGCATCTGATAAAACCACTGCCTTCTTTTTTTTGCTTTGCCCACTTGTTCTCAATGATCTCTTCGATGGCATTTTGAAACGCAGTCACTGCTTCCTCGGCATCCACAAAAAAGTGTCCTTTAAAGTTTTTGTTTTATTTTTGGAAATAAATAAAAATCGCAAGGTACGAGGTTGGGGCTATAGCCTGTGTGACCCGGTAATTCCACGTCTGACGTCGCCAAGTATTCGATTGTTTGCTTAGCGGTGTGCGACGAGGCGTTGTCATGGTGAAGGAGGATTCTACCGCAAGGTCGTTTCTCCCGAACTTTTTTTAAGACAAGTGACAAGCAATTGTTAGTGTACCACTCTGTAGTAACTGGTTTTCAATCCTCTAAAATAATTGCTATGTAATGACCTGTTCTTACGAAAAACGAGGCCACCATCTTTTTTCCCACGCTTCGACCTCTCTTCACTTTAGTTGACAGCTTCTCGGAAGGAAACACCCAGAAGCAGATTGTCTCTTAGTTTCAGGATCATAACGATAAATCCAGCTTTTATCACCCGAAGTTTGTCGAACACAAGCATTTGAGTCACCTCCGTTGAATCTTTCAATCATTTTACGACAACAATCAATACGACGGAATTTTTGGGCCTATGTCAAATTATAAGTTATCCACCGGGAACAAGGTTCCTGACCGGTAAATTTTTATGGAGGATTTTGTGCACTTCACTCATACCGATGCCTAGGCTTATCCGAATCTGCTTATAAGTTACTCTTTTGTCAGCCTCTATCACATCCCGCACAACACTGATGTTATCTTCAGTCGTCGCCATAGAAGGCCTCACGCAGATCATCGGTGAGATTAGTGCGACCACGTTTAAACTCATTAAACCAGTTGTAAATATTGGCACGAGATGGGGCTTCATCGTCAAAAGTCTATCATAACTTTCTTATTGATTTAAATGACATCGAAAGTCATAAAAAATCATTGTACGAAAATTTTCTAGCATTAAATTCATGCTGACGTGACATAGACAATTTTCGATTTAACGCCACATCGTAAACAAATGATAAATTAATAAAATAACATACACAATAATATTGGTAAAGAGTTCTATTATCAAAATTTGAACTTAGTTTTTATTCTAGGCCAGTTCTAAAAACTTTCCGTTACGCCCTCCTAATATAGCTTGAAACAAAATAGCTAACATAAACACTCACGCCTGTTACCCAGAGGGGTAGGCAGAGACTACAGACTTCCATTTAGCACGATCCTGACACACCCCTCTCGCCTCCTTCACATTCATATACTTACGCATACATACTCGTCGGTTAAGGGTACTCCTAATTTGGCCCGTTTACAATAAATCGCCAATTTGATAGATAAATTTTCACCTAGGACGCCCCTTTCCGACTCTGCCATTCACTTCTGCAACATAAATTTTCTTTGTAACTCTTTCCTCATTCATTCTTTCCACATGACCAAACCACCGAAGCATTCCTTTCTTAATCCTGGTCACAACATCATCTTGCAAACCACACTCTTCTCTTATCACACAATTTCTCACCCTGTCATTCAGATTCAGCCCTAACATACTTCTTAACGACCGCATTTCTACTGCGTTCATTTTACTCTCGTGCTTCGTCTGCCACACCCAACTTTCACTACCATACGTTAAAGTAGGGACTAATACAGCATTAAAGTAGGGACTAACACAGCATTGTGAATTGCCATACGTGCCTTTTTAGACACATTTTGACACTTCGCAATAGAGTGCAGAGCCCCATTTACTCTATTTCCCGCATTCACTCGTCGTTCTATATCCTTATCATATCTCCTATCTCTGCTAAATACGCAACCCAAATATACAAACTCATCTGCTTGCTCGATCAACTCCCCTTCTATTCTTATTTCACAAATCGTTTTACTTTCTTCTCTTTCTAAAACCATAACCTTCGTCTTACTTGCATTCACTTTCATACCCCTTTCTTTTAATGATCTGTTCATTAATGTAACCATCATTTGCAACTCGGCCGCCGACGACGCAAGAATAACTTGATCATCGGCGTACAAAAGACATTTGACGGTTAACTCACCCATTCTTAATCCACATTCTTCAACTTTCAAATTTTGCAAACAACTGTCCATAAATAGGTTGAACAGCCACGGGGAAGCCACACAGCCCTGTCTGACACCTTTATGGATGTCAAACCAGTCCGAGTAGACCCCGTTGATCCTAACACAAGCACTAGAGTCCCTATAAAGAGACTCCAATGCCTGTATCAAGCCAGCGTTCAACCCAAATGAGTTCAGTGTTTACCATAGCACATCCCTATCCACTCTGTCATAGGCCTTTTCCAAGTCCATGAACGCACAAAAAAACCTTTTGGTTTTTGGCCAAAAACTTCTCCGCGATCATGCGCATGGAAAAGACTTGATCTGTACATCCCATTCCCTTTCTAAATCCCGCTTACACATCCCAAATTTTTCCATCAGTTTCTTTCCTGACCCTTTCAATCAGTACCTTAGCATACAGTTTTCCCACAATGCTAAGAAGGCTGATGCCACGGTAGTTTTTACAGTCCTGCTGCGACCCTTTTCCTTTATATACTGGGACTATCACGGCTTTACATCGGTCTACCGGTACCCGCTTCAGTTCCCAGCATAAATTAAACAAGGTATGCCGCAGGCCTGCCACCACTTCCTCTCCAGTCCTTAGCATTTCGAGTGAAACTCTATCGTATCCGGCAGCCTTACCTGATTTCATGCTTTTCATTGCTTTCATTATTTCATCTATACTTATCTCGCTACCTCTTTCCTCTTTTTTCGGAGTTTCTACGTTCACACGTTGTCTCCTCACTCACAAACACGCTTTCAAAATATTCTTTCCATCTCTTTAAACCCAAAACTTCATCATTCAGAATATAGTTATTCTCGTCTCTTATAGCATTAATTATAGGCTGTTTTGAATGTCTCCTGGCAGTTCTTACAAGTTTCCAGAACATTTTTGATGTTTGCCTGGAAGTTATCCGATATTCTTCTATCATTCTTATCCGTTCTTTCTTGCTTTTTCCTTTTAACTACTTATTTTACTCTCTTATTTAGACGTCTAAATTCTGCCTTTTTTCTTTCAATCTCATCATTCATACCACCAGAATTACCAGCTTTGGTTGCTTGTAAATCTAATTATGCTTTCGTCTTTGATTCAACTTCCACCCGTACCTCATCATCCTACCACAACGTATTACTTTTCCTTTCATTTGTTCTCTTACTTACACCACATACTTCGGTGGCTGCATCCACCAAACCTTTCTTAATATTATCCCACACAGTATTCAAGTCTAAATCATTCATACACAACTCATTCGAACATCTCATATTTTCTCTCAGTCTACATTTATACTTCTCTTTCACATCTTCATCTTGTAACTTCTCTATTCTTATACGCTGTAAAGCAGTGGTAGACATAGATGTCCGATGCCGCCAACGCTTGAAAAGACCATTAATGTACGTGTTAATAAAAAGTATTTTATTAACAGTTACCTTCATCTTTATCGTAGTTGTTACGCCTGACAAGCGGGTTGGCAACCGCATTTTATTATTTACTGGTTATTATTAGGGAAACGCTGCTGCCCATGTCCTGGTTTGTTTCAATCTATTGCCTTTTAGGGAGTAAGTACGACACCCACGAGACAAAATTGCGTGGTGGATATTCATACACCGCCACTAAGCAAACGATTATCTTAAAAATTTTAATACCACAAAATGTGTTTTTAATCTGCTAACTCAGATGAAGACCAGTTAGTTCGATCAGACCAGAAAATTAAGCTCCAAAAATGTTTATGCATAGTTAGTAAAGTAAAGTTACATTCTATATACGTCCTACTACTGGGCACAGGCCTCCCCTCATTTCTGAGAGGGTTTCAGGGCAAGGAAGTGTCCGCCGCGCTGCCCCAATGTGTGTTGGCGAACTTCACATGTTTTCGGTAATATTTTTTTTTCTTATTCCTCAGACATGCAGGTTTCCTCACGACGTTTTCCTTCACGGCCGAGCACGTGGTAAATCAGCACTTAAAATTGCAATTAACAATTTCATTGGGAGGATCGAACCCGGGCTACTCGCGTTCTGTTATATTTACAGCGAGCGTTAACCATCTGAGCTACCACGGCTCTTTTATTTCTAAAAAAATTAATGCATGCAAAGTTGCAATTGCATACAAAAATAAAAACAAATGGCTACCCGTAAGTATTTCTACTGCTCTATATCATCTCGTAAGTGTCGTAAGAGGCGACGGAAGCATAACTGAAACAGAGTATAAACAGTAGCATATTTCTGATAACAACTGAAAATAATGAAATAATGTAGCTGCCAATCTGCCTGCCAATGACTTGATACACGAATGAATGAATGAAAGTTGCAAATTTTAATTTTTTACCCTTACTACTTCTACGACTGATTTTTTCAAGATTTTTTGTCTTATAAATCCATAAAATCTAACGCTATTAAATCAAAATGCTTAACTGTATGTACAGATAAGCATTTTGATTGTCGATTTAATTTACATCCACTTTTAGCAAATTCATGAGTTAGCAAATTCAACTTTGCATGAATTCAATTGACGTTCTCGTAAAATTAACATTTGAGTTTTCTTTACTAATATTTTTTTAAATTGCTTAACATGCTATGAACACGTAGCAATCATTAACGAGAGCAAAGCCACAAATGAGTTAATAATTATAATTTAATGCACAGGGTTCCTACTGGGCTCAATTTACGCTTCAGTATCATGCGCCGTAGTAATTCCACAAGTGCAACAACACGGCACAAAGCCAGACAGAACGCAGAACTGGCCACAACTAATCTGCACGGCCGGCGGCACAGATACTGCGCTCAGTGTCGGAGTTTATGGCCTCATTTTCAGCTTTATGTTTTCCAACGCCAGTGATCTTTATCGTTATTTTAAGGTAAGTGTATGGGTTAAATGTATGTATTCAATCTAAAATGCAAATCTCAGTTAAAATAAATTTTCTAAGGTTTTTTTTTAAACACATGCATTTAAATCTAGCGCTTTATACGTTATTTCAGTATTAATTTAAATCAAACGCATGCATATGCGTTTGATTTAAATTAATACTGAAATAACGTATTTAAATAAGGTACAAGTATAAACAGAGTCATGAAATTTATATATAATAATTTTATGAATTATACAATCACTTTTATGCTCGGTTTGTGTAATAATTATATATATATATATATATATATATATATATATATATATATCTCTATATATATTATAATCATTACAGCCATTCACAAGTCCATTGCTATACATAGGCCTTCCCAAGGAATGCAACAAAACCAGGTCCTAAGTCACATGCGTTTGTCACACCACGTGATTTCCTGTACTTCTAACCAGGTCGTCACTTCATCTGGTGGGGGGCTACCCTACAGTTCGGTTACCGGTAGGAGACTGCCACTTGTGAACTCTTCTTCCTTTTGTAAAATAATTTAAGGTTCTTCCCCCGAAATTATGATTAATAAATATCGATTGTTTAAGGCAGTCTTCATACTTTTTCCACCTTTAACACTGTACAGGGTTTATTTTTATTCGTTATAAAACACTATCTCAATCAGGTCTAGTGATTCTAAAAGGCGGAATAGACCACTCTCTCGCATATTTCTACTGCTGAATAGCACTGCATTCTGCCTAATAACAGACTGTAAGGATAACAAAACAAAGGCTTCTTTCATTTAAACCTCAAAGACATTCATAAGGGTCGATCGGTAGGCAAAAACGTTGTTGCCCATAAATCACATTCAATTTGGGATAATTTTAAATAAAATAAGAAGCCTTATTTACACGTTAAAAACTGCAATAACGGTATATCATTATTTATATTATATTCTAACTTAAGTTTAATTCTTATTAATATATGCACATTTATTAATGTTCATTCATTAAAAGCACTCATGAACAATATTTTCTTTCAACTTATATACAAAACAATAGAACAGAAAAAAGTGCGATCAAAATATGTAAAACAGTTTTATTCAAAGTAAATTTTGCATATTTTGCTGTAAAAGTTAAAAGCAGAGATTTTATCTTCCGAGTAGGAAGTTATTGTAATGGGTCTCATTTTGCAAATTGGAAATTTTAACATATCTGCACGTTTGAAGGTCTTTAAAGTCGAATAGTATGGTTTTTAAGAGGATGTCCGTGTGTGCACATGTACGTATGTATATATGTATGTATGTTCGGATTCAAAGTTCGCCTCGTGTATCTCGAGAACAAAGAGTGATATTGACATAGGACCAGTTTCATTTAACGCATAATTATGTAACTTAGACCTCATTCAATTTTGAGCAAAATCGGTCAAGTCGTTTTTTGTGCTGAATGAAAAATTGTATAAAATATTCAAACATATGATATTTTTTTATTCTTTCCACTGGGAAGTTAGTCGTGTGGACCTTACGGGTCACACCTAGACCGCTTTTAATTTTTTTATAACAGTAACCCCATACAGGCAGGTCTGACGTTATTTGCGGGAGTAGCGCTAGGCGTCATCTGGGGAAACCTGGCGAAGTTCGTTCCAAACTCGTGCGACGGCTATGTTACTGAGTTACGAATTTTGTTTGTACTTGTCGGCGGACTCTTCGCCAACTTTTTCACGTCAGCAGTAGGATGGAGCGGAACTGGTAAGCCATATTTTTTTAATAACTTAAAGGTTTCGAATTTTTTACGTTTAAGGCGACACGTTATCCGAGTGAATACATAAGTACTATAAAAACTTTAAAAAAAACGACGTCATAAGGTCTACGCCCGCGACTATTAAGACCGGTTATAAATTGTCAGAATCTTAAAATATTTAAAAATAAATACTTATTTAAATAATCAGAATACATAATAAGCAAGCAAATTACGAATCTTGATGTCATGAATATATTTGAGTGATTTCCAAGCACATACATTAAGTAATTTCGTCAAAATTACAACTATAGTGATTTTTTGAGGTATTTTCGCAAATTATTATGATCGACTCAAAACTATACAATCGTGGTTTTGAACAAGCAAATTCAAGATAAAGACATGAATTTATCTTTATCAAAATTCCAGTTTCGTTAGTGGTGTCATAGTCCTATACTATTCGATAAGAAGAAAGGAGGTGCATTTTTTCACGGTGTTGCCTTAATATGTTTTTTAAGTACATCAAGTGCTATTCTCTCCGCATTTCACTAAAATTCAAAATAGGAAAACCCAATTTATTCTTCAGGTATAAAATTTTATTTGCTAATTTTTCTAGTTATATTTTTAATAGAACGTCTTGTTTAACTGAATTCAGGTCTTTATTATATTCATTTAGGTCATTATCTACTTTGTGTTTATTTATAAAAGTATATGAATATAATATACAGATATAGATATAGATAAGAGCAAAAATATATTCAGTGAGAGGATTGTTTTAGTAAATGATTACAACAATAGCGTGAATTCAGTATTTGGTCTGATCTTATTAATATTATCGATCATATCGCTAGTAATATAATTGATGGATCCTCTATTTGGTGATATGAAAAATAAATTGTTGTGAATAGCTTATTGATAATATAATATGAAAACTTTTTTGTATTCTCAAAAGGTTTGAAATCAATTTAAGAATATTTTTGTTTCGTATTAAAACACTGTAATAATAAGTTTTCTCGAGTGCTAAATTTAACGCAATTGCAATTTACAAAACAGAAACTCAAAACCTACACCAAAATCTTAATAATTATTTGCACATTAAAGTTATAACATGAAAAAATACTTTACGACTTAATTACAGCCGGAGTTGCAGTATTAGTCTGCAATGCAACAGCAGCAAAACACTGGGCGAGAAAAGGATGGAAATTAAATCAAAATCCTGCATCAACTGCTTACCGTGTTTTATGGTCTGCTTGTGAACCTGTACTATTTGCATACACTGGGACATTCTTTGTGGTATGTAAAATAATTATAGGGATGGGAGTTATGGCGGGAATTTGACCGTCGACGTATTGTTGCTCCTGTTTTATCGTTTAAATATTGGTTTAAAGTAGATTTTGATACGTAAAGTGATCCGGTTTTGTTTTTTAAGTGCCTGCGTATGAGAAAATGACGAAACAAGTGCTTCGATGTTGATATAAACCTCAAGTTATTTTGATCGCTTAGGCGCTTTAAGAACTTGGGTGACTGTCGTCACCGACCTTCCGCTGGGTTGAGCTGTCGCTAAAATCTTCCACCAACTTCGCACTGTGACGCATCAGTATATTGTGAAGAAAAAACTCTATAAAAATGAAGATCCCGAATGAAATACAAGCATCCAAGCCATAAACCTTATTATAATATAATATAAAAAAAAAAAAAAAAAAAAAAAAAAAAAAATAAGTTATAAAGTTATATCAACAATTTGATCAAAACCTGCATACGCTGCCCTCATCTGATTGACAACCTCATTTCAGATAATTATTAAGCTAAGTGGTGGGTTTGCCTTTAATTGGCCACAAAAAAAAATTAAAAATGCAAAACCCGAAGTCAGAAATTTTGTAAGAATATGCCACTCGAGAAAAAACATAACTGTTATGTGGGTGGCGCACGAGGCGATCACGCAGTGGGGCTATTTGCTGATGCGGAATGCCAGGTGGGGGAGGCAGATAGCTTATGCGCCCGGTAGAGGCTGGTTTAATTTAAATAGATATAGTTAAATAGAATAGATATAGTTGCGTGACTAATCTGGTCACACGCGAGGTCACTCAACACACAATTCCCGATGTGAAATAGACTATTTATGATAAGGACAGAGAGTAAATTTGTGGCGCGTCCACAAAGGTACTTTACAGGTACTAGGGTATCAGAACCAATCCGCCCGACAAATCTTTCAAGAAATGATTAATTGCTGGCGCATTATTTCAAAAAAGATGGCATTTACTTTTGCTTTAGATTTGTCCGCCCAATTCGTTCGGTCTTCAAACAAACTGTAATCAATAAATAAAAATCAATTACTGTCCGTTAGTCTCGCTAAAACTCGAAAACGGCTCAAATGATTTTGATGAAAATTTTTGTGTGCGTTCAAATGGGCCCCTGGATGGTTTAAAATTGCTATTGGAATAGATAGCACTGTTTTTGTAATCTAGAAATCACACCTGCGAAGCTGGAGCGGATCACTAGTATTTTAAAAAATCTAGAATAAATTCATTTGTCATATTTCCACTGGTTGTTCTTAGTTGTGGTTCTGAGTTTCCAGGGATATGGGAATGAAATTTATCGCTTAACGGAGAGCGCAAAACAACGTCTAATTATTTACTTTATGTCATTTAAATGTAAAATAAAAGGACATAATATCTGCGATTATTTACTTTCATATTAATCAATCATATCAAAACTATTTATTGCTTAATTTCCAGATAGATAGCTCCATGACAGATACGATGATAATGGGATTGGGAATTTTAATCATTTGCTTGACAACAAGACTTTTAACTACTGCTCTGGTGTGTTGGAATCTGTCGATTAAAGAAAAGCTATTTATATGCTGTACGTGGATACCAAAGTCTATTGTAGAGGTACATATTTATTCATTTTAATTTATCTCTGTTTAATAGTATAGGAAATTCTAGAAAGAACTTCAATGGATTTAACTGACAAATATATTATACCAGACAAAATATCCAATTCGGCGACGAGAAGCACTGCCAAAGTTGCGGTATATCCTTTAATACCCTCAGTACATAAAAACAGCTTTAGTTAATTGCAATCAATCGTTTGATATAATGTAAATCCATTTTTCTTTTTTAAGTAATAAGGATCTAAGAAATTAAATAACAAAACAGGTATAATATTAAAAGTAAAAAAATTAAACAATTATTAAAGATTTCTTGATTATTCATTAATTGAGCAATTAAGTAAGTAAAATAGTAAAATCAATATAGTATAGTACACTTGCCAAGATTATTCACAATAAAATTGATCGCAAATAGTGCTCTTAGTCCAAAAACTTACTCAATTCAAATTCATACTTGACTGTGTTTCTCAGATTTGTTTAAATATAGTAATTGTGACTGTGACTTGTTATTTTCAGTTTTAAATCTCTCTACCTCTGTGTATATTACTTAAATCTTCGGCAAGTGTATGAATATTGATTGATTGATAGAATCATAATAATAATGACAATAACGATTATGATAAGAATGGTCATGATTTATTATATCGTCATCGCAGACATCGCATAGTAGAACAATAATTGACTCTGAACTTACACAACGTCACAGATTTTACATTAAATTCAACATCATTTACTTCAGAAAACAAATGGTTTCTCGTCTTACAATAAATAGCTATCTGTCAGTCTTGAGACAGTCTTTTAACATGATGAAAAAGAGAAACCGGGTTTGAAATAAAGAAACTGTCGTAACTTTTTATATAAAATAAATTACATTAATTTGACGACTGAGCTCTTAATATAAATAATGATTTAATTAATTAATTCTATATTTTTTTATTTTGGAACTATATGAAAAATAAAATACAGCAACAATCTTTCCAATTACATTTTCTCTCAAAATGGCTGCGAAGTAAATTGCTTGCGTTTTTTTTTAGGCAAATGCGACTCAAGGAGCAAAGTTCATTATAATTTACTGTCGTCAAAATATAGCATACAATGTCAGACACCTTGTTAAGCAAATGGGTCTAAAGTTGGGTGTGAGCACGATATGGTCTTGTAGATAATTACTGAGCAAAGTTACAAGACCCGGTATAATACTACCTTCTAAAGCTTCATAATATTTTATATAACAAACGTTAAATATTTAGTAAATAAAACTTTTAAAAGAACTTACGTACGTCAATGTAACAAATAAAACTTTGTCATTTATGTTATTTTTGTTATTAGTAAAAACTACGTATTGGTAAGATATAATATATTCTTTGGTTTTTATGTTTAATAAAATAAAGATTTTCACATGGCCGATTTGAACCACGGAGAAAACTCCCGTATACTAACAACTTCGCAGGATAAATCATACTATCACTAGTGTGTTATAAAAGGCACTCTAGTCGTGAACTACTTGTAGTACCTGATGAAACATTTACTATTCAAATCAACTATTACACAACCGAACGAACTGCAAAAATCTTGACTTTGGTCGGGACTCGAACTTAGGTACGTACGTCACGTACATTAGGCCTCATAGTCAGTGATAAATAGCTTTACCAGACAAATATTTAAAGTAACCAACGTCTGTCGACGTATTCTTACTATCTTTGTATAACGATCCACTAAAAAGGGTTGTCGTAATAATAATAATAACGCACTACATGACGTCTCATAATGTTCATCATCTGAGATCGTCGGTAAATGAGGCTGTACTTGCCGCGAAAGCATGGTGGGCGTGGCTTTTTAAGCGCGCTCACCATACATAATCGTGAAGTGTGCAGCCTCCGTAATTACTTCCTGGCGAGATCGGATGATCCATTCTATAGGGACGTCATTCTTGTGATAAAGAACTTACCCCCCTATCCTTAGCCGAACCTGACAGTACATAGCATTGCCGACTAGGAGATCGTATGGAAGGAGGAGCTCCACGGGAGGTTCTACAAAACTCTTCATGAGCCTTTCGTAGACACTGTAGCCTCCCTCCACTGGTTACGCTTTAGTGACCTCTTCGACGAAACCAAGGGATTTTTCTGTGCAATATAGGATCAGGTTGTTAAGACCAACAACTATCGGAGATACATCCTAAAACATGGCGCCGTCGATATCTGTCGAGCTTTTCGCCATCCCGGTGAGTCACTTAGGCACGTCAACTCCGGCTGTTCGGTGCTTTCTAACTCTGAATACTTGCACAGGCATAACCTATCAATCAGAATTCTTCACCAGGAACTCGCTCTGAAACACGGTCTCGTGGAACGGAAATTGCCGTATTAGAAGTACTTTCCGGAATCCGTGCCCGAAAATGATCGCGCCAGGTTGGGACCGGGCCATCATCACAGACAGGACTATTCTTGCGAGTAAGCCCGATATTGTGCTGATGGAGCGGGCACAGTCAAGGATGTTTTTGGTTGACATTACCATTCCGCATGACGAGAACCTCGTGAAAGCCAAAACAGATAAGCGAACAAAATATCTGGACCTCGCTCACGAGGTGACCGACATGTGGGGTGGTTTGCCGACCGAAATTATTCCTGTAGTCGTCTCTGCGAATGGGCTAATCCCAGTCAACCTCTCGGGTCATCTGAGGCGACTGGGACTCCGTGACGGACCGCTCCGGGTTCAAATGCAGAAGGCGGTGCTCCTCGATACCGCCCGCATCGTCCGCCGGTTTCTTTCTCCCGTGCCAAGGGCTTTCATCTGATTTGGCTTTTATTTATTTATGTATTATTTATTTATTTATGTCAGTATATTAAATATATATTTATGTATATTTATCATTTCCTTTTATATATTTATTCAATATGTTAAAAAATAAGAATTATTCATACAAATATATCAAAGTATACGTTAGCATTAAATCAAGTTCCATTCACATAAATTTCTTATCAATAATGACATTATACTGGGAGTTCTTAGATACACGAACAAAACAGTCTTTGTTATTAGAAACAAGCTTACCGTTTTTGAGAACTAAGGATACTTTTTTAAATCATTTCAACGAAGAATGAGTTTATGTACTCGTATTACTGTAAATAATTTAGGTATCTGTTAATTTATATATAATGTGTTTAATTTAAAAATATCTTTATCATTTGCCCGTTTCCAAGTACACTACTGGATATAGGTCTCTCGTGTTGTTGGTAGAATAATTCCCATAATTCCCGCGCTTAGCAGGCAGACAGCCTGGCCACGGGACATTCGCCGTAGCAAAAATTCGCGCAGCGCGAACGGCGAGGCGTCTGGCGACTAAAACAAATGTACAGACCGGCAAAATTTACCAGGCGAATCGCGCGGGCGACTCGCGGCGCGGCGGGCGAATGAAACAAATGTATGAATCAGTACGGTGCAAGCCACGGAGTCGGGCGGCAGACGCGGCGAATAGTATAGGGAACAAAATATTTTAATTGTTTTCGCCGCGAAAAATGCCGGGCCGACAAAATCAACTTAAAATTCTATCCGCATTGACTTTTATCTCCAATTCTGGTTGAATATTAACAAGAATATAATCGCAGGTTTCGACACTCGTTCTGGTATTTACTCGAAATTTTTTTCTAGATGCATTCTATTTGTTGTGGAATTCTCCATTTATAACCCGATTCCTATTCAAATCATGTACTCCGCAATCTTTTCCAAATATTATGTCTTGAATCAAAAAACAAATACTTTCTAAGCAATATCGAGATAACTTTGATAAAGACATTTCGCTCTCGGCCTATCTGGTCGCGGCGGCAAACGTGACTTCCCATGGCCCTCAAATCACGCCGCGCGAATTTTCGCCCCGCCTGTCGCTTCGCCGTTCGCGCCGCCCCCGTTCGTAGTACCAGACGTTTCGCATCTTTCACATCACTCCCTGGTCCGAGTACTTTATGAATAACAAAAATGAGACAGATATATAACTATATTTCCGAAGCCATGCGATACTCGTATTTCTTGTTTTCCTCGCACGTCGTCAACAGCTGACGAAATAAAGTATACTCTAACACAACCACTGCACGAATTTAATTTAATTTAATTTAATTTTAAGGCTACCTCATCTCATCGAATAAACGCTAGACTTTAAAAATAATATTTTTATAGAAGTCGTGATGACAAAAATGTTAACACAGTTCACCTGATTATAAGTGTACTGTAGCTCGTCTATACATCTATCCTCGTTTGCATATGCAAATGCAATATGCTGATATGTTTTTAGATTAAAATGGAATACCTCGTTATCAGTAAAACGGGTTTTCGGTTCTCATCACTTACAATAGGCAAAAGTGTTATGCTGCTACGAGTATTTGACGATGGCATTATATGCGAGCCCGTTCTTTACTGGTTGAGCCGACCCATTCGTGCTGCAACTACGCTACAGAGTGGCTATACCGCATACAGATAATCCTTTTTTTTTTTATTTAGTCACGTATCCTATAAGTCACGCAGTGAATGTCTTGTGCAATATTTCAAATTATTTAAAAAAATCAGGTTGCATAAATTTTGGCGGTGTTTAAATTAACCGCGAAAGCATTAGTCATATAAAGACATTAATTTAAAATATAGTAGTCCATGAAGATTTTTTTAATAAAACCAGGAAATTTAGTAAATAAAACACCATCATCGAGTGGGCCGGTCGTATAGTGTAAAGAACCGAAAACCGATGGACAAGAAAGGTTCGCAAGTGACAGTCTTGTACCGGTAAGCGAAGTGTAAAGAGGCCCTACACTAGAGGGAGGGATGAAGGTTGGGCAGGGAGGCATATGTGTTATTGTTGTTGCATATGTTCAGCAATGAACTTGCAGAAAAAGAAGAAAAGATCACGATAATATTTTTGCTGTTGGTGACGTATGTTATTTACCCATTTTTTAATTTTTCAGGCAGTTTTATGTCCTTTAGCGATAGACACATTGCTTATTAATAATTCCGGTACGCAGTATGAAATGAAGTATGCCGATGATTTAATGAGGCTTATTGTACAAGCCATACTTATTACAACTCCAATTGGTTTTCTGCTCACAAATCACCTGGGACCTTTTCTCTTAAAATCTGAAGAAAGAGAAAACGTACGTATATCATAATTATTCCTTAACCCTTTTGTGATGTTACATCTATACTAGTTAATTTAAATATATCAAACAGCACATAGTTTGTTTTGCGAAGATAAATCATAAATAATCGTGATAAGAACAAGCATTCGTAGCCAATTTTTCTTCTTAGAATACCCGCCTCGCAAGAGCAAGGACCAGCTAAGTCAGATCTCACCACCTTAATTTACAAATAACTATAATGTTACTCCTAATACAAATTGAGTCTCTATTTTTACTCCAAATTTCGTTTAAATTTTTACACCAACATTCAAAGTGATTGTTATCCAATTAAACTTATCCATTTACTTCCTACAAATAATATGTTTATTGCTTTATGATAATATAAATTCTCATTTTTGTTAGCCCCTAATATTTTACACAGTTAGTTAATATACAAAATGGATGGTGCATCCTTTTCCGTCACCATATGAAAAACACATTAAAGCGTAAATTAATTTTTTGTACTTATTTCCACAGATTTAGAATCTCAAAGGCGACGACGAAAAGATGTTTCAATTTATGAAGATGTGAGAATATTATTAAATAGCAAATTTAGTGATTTCTACTACAAATCCAGTAAAAACTACGTTCATCATATTAATGTCTAGCTAAGTGACAATTATACTTGTTTTACGATAACAACCAAAGATTTTTATAATAAAAAAATAGATATGAAAAATGGTATTTATTTTCCACAATCAATTTAAAAATGTAATAAAAGTCCAATACCAATACAATAACATAAACGTCTGTATAGAAGAATTTGCATAATATCATAATTATATTATCAGGGGGTATTGTAAAATATTTCAAAACTAATAAGGTTGAAACTGGTGTTTTTTTAATAGTTTATGCGTGACAAACGAGCACACAAGCCACCTGATGCTAAGTGGATAATGTGGATAAACATTTACATTTATCCCCGATTAAGAATCATAATTCAGATGCTTTGTCACCCCTGAGGACTTAAATGTTATGCCCCGATTCCAGTAAAAAGGGTCTCCGGTTCTCTACACTCACCAGGCGAGACACAGCAGGATGAAACTACTATTTTGGGCTGGTATTCTGTGAGAGCGAGGTCCTTCCCCGGCCGAGCCGACTTATTCGTGCTTCAACCATAATATAGCTGCAGCTTGGCTCTACAGCGTAACAGATAGAATAGACTTAAATGTTTCAAAAAGATTATTCCAGATCTATGTTCAGTTTTTTTTTTAATGTAAATAAATAGCTCCACAAGAATCAGTATAGTTTTATAAGTGATCGCTCAACAACAGACGCCGGTGCTGATGATTAAACATATTTTCAATGTATAGATAGATCGAAATATACTTTGGAATATCTTGTGATATTTCCAATACCTTTTACTGTGTTTACCACGACACATTAATCAGAACTGTACGATTTTATATTTGTGCATTAAAGTTTAAATAGATAAATCATTATGGCTATATAAAACTTGATCAAATAATAAATAATAACAATAAGAAATTTATTGTAAACACCCATGGATATAGTCCACTGTTTAAAATATGAGCTGTAAAATTAATTTTATCTACACTTGCAACGAATATTCGGCTATTATTTCGTATTCGGCCTATTCGGCTACTTACTTTTTGTCCTATTTGATCGAACACCGAAAATCTAGGTAGTATTTGGGTGAATACCGAACATCTAGGTACTACCTGGGCGAATACCGAATAATTAACGAAAAGGTTTTATCGTGCTCAGATAATTGGTAAAATTAAAATATTTTTCTTCTTGTAATCATTAAAGTAGTCATAGGTACAAAATCAACTTCTATATTATAAAAATAAAAAATCATCAGATAAATGTCTATACACTTGAATTATCGCAAGTATCGTGGAAGATATCGTGCAGAAAAAAAATCTTAATTTTCAGGCAGTAGTTTATCCAGATTCTAGATTATCCATGTAGTGTAGTATTCAATATATTATGCAACGTTCTTATAAATATATGACTAACGAACACTGAATCCAACAGGTGGCCTGATGGTAAGTGGATGCTATGGCCTATAGTCATCTTCCTTTAATATCGCTTAAGAATCAAAGTTCAGAGTTATTCCGTTTATCCACCCTAAAGAATCCACTCTACTCTAATACTACTCTACTATCACTAGATACTTGGAAACGCGTGTTCATCTATCCACGCCAGACGGGGTTGACAATCAGAATTCACTTTTATTTGTTCTTCCTACTTTTTACCCCAAGTACAGTACAAAACTTACACTTTAATTATTAATTAATTTTTAATAAGCACAAACCTTAACAAAAAACTTATAGCCATTACCATCCACCAGACTATTAAAGTCCACGTATTACGTATTGAATTTAATTCAAATTAAACTTACTCGTTTTAAATATTATTATTGCGTAATGTGCAAACTTTGCAATAGTTCCAGGTAATAACCAACACTAATTTCATTATTGAGTAGACGTAATTTGATATCATGAATAAATTCATCACTTTTTAAAGCGAAGAACTGGGCGTTTTTGCAAGCATTCCAAAAACGTTAAGATTGGAAGTTTGTCTTTAACTTCATTTAAAATTATTTTATGCCAAGATTCCAATGAGTCTTTAATCCTATGAGGTATTCCTTATATTTCAGTGTTGACCTTTCAAACAAGAAGTATGTATATATTTTTATAGGTAATGTATATTAAATGTCTTGAGATAGTTCTTATTATGTTTCTATAAATGACTGTACACAGCCGTTTGAGAAATATCGGAAGAAAAATAATATATACGAATTTGGATTATCCACCATAGGGTGGATTCTTTACGGTGGATGAACGGAATCATCCAAAACGCAAATGCGTTTTCACCTCTGAGGACTAAGATGCAATGCCTCTTTACTAGTACAAAGAGTCTGCGATTCTCTGCATTCATCATATGAAAAAGCAGCAATATTCTGTTATTTCACAATGGTATTTTGTGTACCACAAGACTAAATCGTACTGTAGCTATGTATATACATCCCTACAGCTGGGCTCTAGCACATAAGTCATAATGTGAATATTTTTAATTTTGCCAATGTACTTATAAATCACAAATATCTTCAATTATCAAATTCTGCACTAACATTTGATAATTATTATGATAACTTCATTAGCACTCTCTCATTTAATGTAATAAGAACAGGATTGCGAACGTCAAGTAGGTATTTAGAGTGACAGCCACAAAGGTTAAGAAATTTGTATGTCAACGTCGAGTTACATGCATTAACTTACATTCCCTATGTAGGAAAGAAGATTTTTTAAAAACAAGGGATATATTATCATAAATAAACAGACTCTTCCGTCTAAAATCTAAATATATATCGTCTACGCAAATTCGCATGAAGCTATTATCGACGTAGGCGTAGAAGGATGTAGTGTGGTCTCGTGAGTATCGTAAGGTTTGATGAGAATGGATCGATGAAAATAGGTATATGTAATAATTTCTAAGTCAAATATAAAAATCACGGTTGAAGCAAAGTTCAATATATCAAAATAAGCGAGTTATAAAACACTATGTGTATATCACAGTCTATTAAAGTCCACTGCTGAACGTAGGCATTCCCCTTACCATAGTTGCTACGCTTGGCAAGAATCAGAAACAGAAACTTTTTATTCAATGTAGATTCACACTTTTTTATTTACCACTGGTTCGCAAAAAAACCTCTGTCCTGGGAAGAACTAGCAAGAAACCCAGCTGGACTACTTTTTTTTTCAAATAATAGCTTACAATCTTGTTTAGAATTAGCAACACAAGACAAATTAGAAATAGCTTGGTAACGATCAACCTTCCCAGGGGTTATAATCATCTATAAATTCCTTAATATTATAATAGCCCTTTATATACAAACTTAATTTAGGTAATAAAATTTTTGAATTTTGCGTATGACAATTTTTGTATATTTTCTGGGATTTTGTTGTAAAAGCGTATACCTACATGGCTTCAAGAATGAATTACTGACTCGGTGGAGTCGAACGGCTTGGTAACCGCAGTTTTTTTTACTCATTATTAGGAAGTCGCTGCTGCTCAGCTCCTGGTTTGTTTCCCCCTGTCGCCTGTTACAACACCCAAGGAGTGATATGGGGTAATGGATATTTTTACAGCGGCCGTACTATGTGTGTATATTTGTAGGTAACTCGAATTTGCTATTCTATTGTCTACTACTAAAACAAGTCGTGTAACTATATTGTGTAGGATTTCTGTTCAATGGGAAATTTAATAAAACTTTTTCTTAAAATTCATAAAAATAGACAGGATAAAGCTACGAATCAACAAAAAAAAAAACATAAACACACGTATTTAGTATATAAAAGATCAATCGATGGATCCAACTCGGCTGGGCAGCGTTCGGCAAATAGCGGCACACCTCGTCTTTCTAAGCATATAAAAATTGTTTTTTCTTTTATTACCCAAAATTTAAGGTTTGAAAATGGCGACATCTAGTTTAAAAGATGAAAACAATTATACTGCTACCAAAGTTTCTACTCACCTTTCCGAATATATAAGATGTTATGCTTATAACTTTTCAAAAGTAAAAATAGATGGCGCTTTTCCCAACCAAACAATATTATTGTTTAATTGATAATTGGTAAGTATGTAAAATATTATAAATTCCTATTATTTTTGAAGTATGTTTGTCGAATGATGTAATTGTTGTAATAATGTTTCATAATTTCGTCTGAACAGAGATATATGAGCTCCCAGAATTCGCAAATATTATTAATATTCTTATGGCCGCTAATATGAAACTATTATTTCGCAATTTATAGAGATTTATATAAATTTTATAATTTGTATACATTTAATACAAAATCTACTAACTATACCATCATTCCATCTTAGTCTTCAGGTGTGACAATATGCATTTTGATTTTTAGTCCTGCACAAAGTTTAAAAACTTTATTAAAGTAGGTAAGGAGGTTGTATTAAAAGGGTTATTATAATATTAAGGAATTTATGGATGATAATAAACGCTGGGAAGGGTGTTCGCTACCAAGTTATTTCTAATTTGTTATGAGTTTTTAATAGTAAAATACATGATTGCAATTTGTTATTTTTTAAAGTTCCGCTGGGTTTCTTGCTGATTCTTCCAGGACGGTGGTTTTTTTTTCCGTATCAATGGTAAATTGAAAAAGTGTAATAATATAAGTATATAATATAAAATAAGTATTATTTATAATCTATATTTAATAAAAAAGTTTCTGTTTTTTTTTTGTTTCAAAAATCGAGGATAAATTAAGATGTCTGGATAAAAGCACCCCAGGAACTCACGCCTATACGCAATAAATCAAGATTATATAATATGTAGAAAATATATATATATATATATATATATATACATCACAATATTACGAAAAAAGTATAAACGTACGAAAAAATATCTAGGATTGCCCAACCGTGATACATTATAGCTTGACTATAATTATTATTATTTATTTTTACTATTGTAAATAAGTACTAATTGTAGA